CACTTTTTCTTCCCTTGCAGCAGTTTGTGCTTTGCAGTGACTGTGCCAGCACAGTGCATGTCAAGGAATGATCATTCATGCTTGTCATATATGCCAACAGCTATGTCTTCCTGGAACACTTCCCCTTAAGTCACTGTTACACGATGAAACTGCATTCAACATGCATAAGAGACCTGCAAGTTTTTTTTGTTTTTTTTTCCCCTTACAATCCGGACCGATCCGGACATGATCATCCGGACCATCCAGACTGATCCGGACCATGTCCGGACGGGCCGGACTGGTCCGGAAATCCGGACGTCCGGATCATATCCGGACCGACTGGTTGTCTGGGTCCGGATCGGTCTGGAAATCCGGACGTCCGGATCATATCCGAACCGAAGAGTGGCTTCCTGACTAAGCAGGTGGTGCGAACCAACAGGCTGCAGGGTTCTTCTTGCTGTGTGAGTAGGTGATGGATTGTTTTGGTGTGTATGGGATGTGTGGACTGCCTTGTCTGCCCTCCTCTGCTGGCTTGCTGCCCACCCACTTGCCATGCCTTTCCCTGCAGCTTGTCTGTTTGCCGTGTAGTTTGGCTGCCTTGTCGGTGTTGCCTTGTGCTTTGCTGTGCTGTTGCGTTGCTGCCCATCTGCATGCCTTGTCTTCCTGTGCATTTCGCTTGTGTGCCATGTAGTTTGGCTTCCGTGGCAGTACTGCTTTGTGTGTTGCTGTGTTGTTGCCTTGCTGCCCATCCGCTTGTGCTGTCGTTCCATGTAGTTAGCTATGTCGTTGTGTAGTCAGGGCTGCCTCATGAGCGTTGCCTGGTGCTTCACTGAGTCGTTGCCTTGCTGCGATGTTTTGTTGTGGTGTTGCGTGCGTGTGGCCCATTTTCAGCAGGGGTTAAAAGAGTTCATGACTGAAAGCATCAATATGGAGATTCCGCAAATTGTTGAGGGTTCAGCCTCCTGATGAGGTGGTGCAATTCTGACAGGACAATCTATCCTACCCCTTAAGCGCGGTGGGCCCGCGGGGGGGAGGTCGTGTTCCGCTGCGCACCGGAATCGGCCCGAAGTTTTGATTGGGGCCGGCGGATGAAGGCGATCAAGGGAGGGGCGTTATGCAGAGTGGCGCGCGTACCGAATTGTTCACAGCGCGCCACTAAACAAGAGAGCGCGCCCACGGGGCCGGGTACACGGCGGGCGTCGATGCGCATCAATATCTGAACGCGCCCGCCGTCGGATAGGAAGAAAGTGTCGTTTCGTGCCCCGGCCCCTTTTCTTTTCTTTCTTTTTTTTTATTTTTGATTTGGTATTCTTTTTGTAATTTTTTTTCTCCTTTTTGATTTTGTATTCGTTTCGTCGTTGCGGGGCGGAGCGGCGGCGGGCGTCGATGCGAGGGAATATCTCGAAGCGCCCGCCATTGACAGCAAGAAAGTGTCGTTTTCTGTTTTTTCCCTTTTCTAATTCTGTTTTTGCGGTTTTTTTTCTTGGGACGCATTTCTCTTTTTTTTCTTTTCTTTCTTCCATTATTATTAGTTTTTTTTTCTTTATTCGTTTTCTTCGTTTTGGCGCAATCTTTTTGTTTTCGCAAGTTTTATTGTATTCGTCGTTTTCTCCGACGTCGGCGCTGACAAAAGAGAGCGGGGTGGCGGGTGCATCGCAGGCGGCGACCCACCCCCCACCCACCCACCCACACACACACACACACACACACACATTAATATTTTTAAGTTCGCTATCAATGGTTGTTGTTGGGGTTCAAACCCACGCACGGATTTGAAATACGCAACTGCCCTAACCACACAAGTGGATTGGGTCCCTGTGTGGTTTTGGGGACTGCTTCTTTATCAATTGTATCCGACGTCAGGCAGCTGACAGGTCAAAATGTGCCTGTGTGTCCAAACCCTAACGTTGCACAGTGTGGCAGGCGGGTCCAGTCCCGCAATTTTCAAGCACCAAATCTGGCGATTTTTCGTGCTCAGTAGAATTGAGGAAAAACTATGAAAATTTGAGATCCTGTAGACTAGGTTGTGATCTTTCTAGGAAAAATATCAAAAAAAAAAAAAAAAAAACATTTAGACCGTGAAATAAATGCCGCGCTGTTTAGTTGCACTGTCCATTTTTGTCATTCTTGCACGTGTTGGCCAACGGGAAAAGTACCCCAACTTCCGCGATTTTTTGCGCTCAGAAGCATAACTCCACAACTCTGAAAATTGATAGGCCTATAGACTGGGTCATGGTCTTTCTACGAAAAATATTTTAAAAAATTAAAAAAATATTTAAGATCGTGAGATAAACACCGCGCCAATTCGTCCTATATTCAGTTTTTGGGGTCTTTTGCTGCTGTATCAT